CAAGGACACGTGGGACGACGATCGACTCTGCTTCGTGCACTTGAAGGCGGATGTGCGTCGTGTGATACGTCGGCACGTCCGACGCGGCAGCAGTGGCAGCAGGAGATCGCCGAGCGCCCGCTCGGCGCCGTCCAGTCCGGTTGGATCGCAAAGTACAACCACGCGCTCTCCGACGTCGGACACGCCACTAATCGTGGCGCGCCACGTCGACGCGGGTCGAGGCGAGGATGGCGTTCGCGTTCTCCAGCTCGTCGTCGTCAGTTTTGGCATTCACAGTCTCGTTCTCGCTCTCGCTCACCGTGGGCTGCGCCGCGGAGACGCTCGCTTGCGCGAGCGCGGTCTCGTAGTCGCGAACAACATCCAGAACGTCATGAAGGCGCTCGCTACGGGGCTCCCATGTATCGTCCTCCGAAGGAAAGCCAAGCCAGCGCACGTGATAATGCCGTGTCGGTGGCACCACGCGAGTAGTGGTACTACGATCACGGACACGGTGACGAGTACCGTGGGGATCTTGGTGATCCATGATACACCTAACAATCCAGCGGGTATTACCCGCCGAGTCGGCAATCGGCGGTGGACCTTCACGGTGGTACAGGGTCCGGTTGGCTGGGAGCGGGCGATGTTGAGGCTGCCGTGAACCGCTCCTGGGACGCTCAGGCGGAGGCTGAGCGAGCAGACGGATGCACGTGGCGTGCGGAGCGAGCGGCGATGGAGCTTCGACAGTCGAACCAGGAGTTGCTGATGCATCTGCGGAATTTTGAGAAACGCGTCTATGGAACGACGCAGACCGGTTCGCAGCCCCGGGAGCGGGCCCCTGGATCAGACGGATCGATGGCGCGACAGGCACGTCGGGTGGGGCGCCCAACGCATGCTCTACCATAGACCCTGGTGGTCGGACCTTGGAATTTCAGCGGGGCGGTAACGCTTGAGGCGCCCGACGTAAAACGTCGGGTGGAGGCGCAGCGAAGTCGGGATGTCCAATGTATACGCGTAGCTTAAGACCATCACAATCTTGAAGGGGACAATGAAGCATGGAGCGAGCTTGTTGACGCCGAGATTAGTCTCAGCGGAGGAGCGAATGCCTTCGGTAGACAGAAACACACGGTCGCCCGTGCAAAATGAATTTTTGTTATTGCGCCCATGTTTGTCTGCATTTTCCTTCTGCTTGTCGACTGCTGCTTGCTGTGTATCTCGCACAAAACCCATAATCGCCTGGCGCTGTTGTACAAACTCTGAGACAGCCGCACGGTCGCCCGGACTCGCCGTATACTTCGGCGCATAGGTAGCAGACACGACCGGCCGAGGGTGATCCGCTGGGTGCCAGCGGGATCGATCAAAGTGCGCTCTGCCCAGTCCGCGAGCGGCGTCACTGCACTCCGAGGTGCAGCAAAAACCTTCTTCGCTTGGGATCGGGTCACTGCATTTGCACTTGTTTCCGCCGGTAGAGGGCCGTGGTACGTCCTCAGTGGCAGCTCCTCCCCCACCAAGAGTAGAGCTTTGTTTCCCCGTGGGACGACCCGCGGGTGTCGCGCGGAGTTCACGAAGAAGGGGGTCAGGCCCATCGACGAGTGCTCGGCGTTGTTCAGCGCAAACTTGCTTAGGGGCCGGAAGGAACTCCAGCTCGGAACGCCGACGCGTAGCTGCGAAGCACATCTTCTACAACACGGTTGACATGTTTAGTCTGTCCATCCGTCTCTGGATGGGCTGCGGTCGACATCGTAAGTTTCGTCCCAAGCAACTTGAACAACTCCGTCCAAACTTCGGACGTAAACCTCGGATCGTGTTCCGAGACGATGGAATCGGGCAGACGACGGAGACGGAAGACGGAATCAACGAAATGCGCCGCGGACCCTTCCGCGGTGACCGTGGAAGTCACGGGGATGAGATGCACCATCTTGCTGAACCGATCGACAAACACGAGAACACCAGTACGCCTGTTTACGTCGGGTTGTAGGCCGAAGACGAAGTCCATCGAAACAGAGCGCCAGACTTCCGTAGGGACCGGAAGAGGACGCAGTGGAGCCTGTGACGACGGCGAAGGTTTCACGCACTGGCAGGTCTCGCAAGTGCGCACCCATTTGCGCACCCATTTGTAGAGGTGAGGCCAGAAGAAGTCTCGCGCCACTGCTGCGAAGGTCTTTTCGCGTCCCAAGTGGCCACTGGTCGGAGCATCATGGTACTCACGGATGATCCGAGCGCGAAGATCTTCATCATTTGGCACTACCATACGCAGATTATCGAAACGATCGATGGAGTACGTCAGCAAGGAGCCATCGAGGCGGTATCGCTCGATGTGACTGCGGATACAGCGCGGCAGAGCTTCTAGAGTCTCCTCACTCGGCGCGCGGAGGTGAATCAGGCGGCATACATCGTATGCGGGTGCGATCTCGTCTCGAAGCGACATCGTGGGAACAACGCTCGTCAGGTTCAACTCTGACGTCACACACATTGCGCACAAGTCTTCATCTTCCGCGTCACTTGTCTGACGACCAAAACCGTCGCGGGGGCGCCGAGACAAAGCGTCGGCGAGAATGTTATTTTTGCCAGGCTTGTGGTGTACCACGAAGTTGTACTTAGAGAAGAAGGACAGCCAGCGAGCCATGCGCTGGGAGAAGTGAGGGGATACATCGATGTTCGCAGCGATGCGTGATCAGCGTAGACTGCAACCGTCTGTTCTCCGAACAGGTAGACTCCGAACTTGACCAGAGCGTAGCGCATGGCGAGGAGCTCCTTGTCGTGTACTGGATAGTTTCGCTCCGCCGACTTAAGCTGGCGGGACTGGTAGCTTATCACTTACTCACGACCATCGTCATCAAACTGCATCAGGGCACACCCGATGGCGAAGTCACTCGTGTCACAGACGACGTGGAAGGGTTTTGATTCGCCCGCGAGCATCAGAATAGGGGCGGACGACAAGCTCCTCTTCACCGAGTCGAATGCGGCTTGGTGTTCTTCTCACCACACCAATGGGGTGTCTTTCTTCGACAGCGACGACAGCGGTTGTATCAACTTGGCATAGTCCTTTGTATACTCGTGCAAGTAGTTTGCCATGCCCAACCACTGACGAAACTCAGTGGGGCTGGTCGGGGTCGGCCATGAGCAGATTGACATGACCTTCTCAGGATCAGCGCGGACGCCATCCTTGCTTACGTA